TGTATGTGTACGCGTTTCTTTTAAAGTAAACGTAACATACGTGTCAATGATGATGAAAGTGATCTAAGTTGAAATTAAGAAAAAATTAGTTTACGACTTAAAAACATTCATGTGTTATTTTAATTTTAATATCGTTAATAATATGTTATATAATATTAAAATTAATATAATTTTAATACGATATTAGTTTTAATATCATTATTGAAAACATCTATGACTTAGACCACTGCCATAATTATTGACACGTATATTGCAACATTTTGTTAGTGATAATAATTTTGTATATGAATACATACCCATAACATTTGTCATAATAATTTCAGTTACTTTTACTTTTAAATGAATATGCAATACACCTGATTACAATACAATTTTTGATTCCTTACTAACTAATCAACATTTGATAGTTTTTTAAATAAAATATATAGAAGTACTTGATTTGAAAAGGTTGAATGTCGACTGCAAAATCTACATCAAACACTTCGTTCTGAAATGAAAGAAAAACAGAAATTCCATATATCGAATAGAGTACGTTCTTTACTTCAAACAACTTCTGTACAAAACGTCTTTTTATTAACATTACATTTGAAAGTGACAAATTTTCGGAAAAAGAAGTCTCAGAATAAATGGATCGAAACGAACGCCTGAAATAGCCTTTATGATCCCCAGGTTCACCACTTCCGGATTTCCATGTACGAGGCACTTACGGATATCGTTTACGATGCACCTTCCACGGACGCAAACGGTTTAGAACGAAGAATAGAAACGGAAACGTATGCATCAATATCTAAAATAACATCTGCGCAAGCCGCCGAAAATGCATTTCATAGATTTACAAATGAAAAATGCCGTGTTGCACTCGGAAGTTGTACTACTGCTGCATATACTCTACTAGGACTTCTTATCGGTAAGAAATATTAGGAAATATTACGAACAACCAATGAAATATGAACAAGCAATGAAATGTTCTTGGAGAATAGTGTCTTTGCAATATCCACGATGAATTTCCGTTCGTGTTAACACAAACGTATCGATAGTTTTCCTGCAGTAACCAGTAAATGACCAGCTACAAGACAAAGGTAAATTAATTAGATGTTATATTTTTCTCAATGGAAACAAAGCAAAGGGAAAGTCAAAGATTGAGGAACTGATTAATTCGGCAATATAGGAATTGAAATAAAGATAAATAAACGGAAGAAAATGTTGAATTTTAAATTCGGTTATTTGACCGGTTCCCGGTACGGTTAATGTTAATTATATAGCATTATCACCATAAATTGCTTCACTGGAAAACAACAATCCAAATATAAAGAATTAAATATTCAAACTTTTATAATTCAAACTATTTCAGAGCTAACTGATCTAAATCGGAAGCAATCTTACTAATGTAAATTATACAGAAAGAAATCAAATGAATTTTAAAGGAAAATTATATTGTAATTTATTTATTCACCGAACGTGAAAATAAGGGGATATTGACAGTTCCGTGTTACCTTTGCAAAGAAGAAGGATTATTTCTCGGTTGATCGCACTGTTGCAATGTTTCTCACTTCGTATGCGCATAATATATAATAAATTCAGCTGCATGTAACGTATTTTTCATGGTGAATATCGTGCTGCATTGTCGGTGTACAGTGCAGGAAGGTAGGATGGCGGAAACGGTGGGTGTGGGAGGGGGCGAAGGGGATGAAGACGCAGTACTCAAAGTAAAAGATATGATCCCTTCGTGCAGGAGTAATGTTCAGATTTCCTTTCCTTCGTTCTCTTCCTGCAACTGAACGAACCTCTATCATCAAAACGATTTGCGGGGGCCTACTGATATATCTTTCATCTGATGCCACGACAGCTCAATTTATCAAACTTTTGGCCTGTCTGAAACAATTTTCCACTCGATTTTCCACGTGGAAAGAAATCATCTGTTCAGATTTTTTCTCTACAGTTGAATCTGTTGTTTAATTGACAAAATATCGGTACTATTGTTTGAACAATATTCTATGATAAATGTGTCGATATATTTTAGGTTAGAGACATTGCGAGTTAGATATTATAATAAATTAGTAAATATGTGAAATAAATATTTTAGATTTTTCATGGTTGCTTCTTTGTAGTTCATTTGTTTCGTTAACTGTAGAGTTTAAAACGTTTGCAGTTGTTTTCAGTTGTCGATGTTCGATGTTTAGGATGAGAAATTTAATTCCCCTGCCATTAATTTGTAAAGTGATTACTAATTCGAAAAGTTAGTTAGGCACAGAATAAAACGATTAAGATGGAATAAACAGAAAAAAATAGCTCAGAATAAACTGGATACCTAAGTATATATTTGTTGAGATACAATTTACTACAATTTGGTGAATGGTAGCTGCTTTTTTCGTATGACGAGTGTACTCGTCAGAACGCAAAATATTAGCATTTATTTATGACGATTATACTCGTCGGAATATAAAATATTGCCATTTCTTCATAATGAGTAGAATCGTCAGAACACAAAATATTGCCATTTCTTCATAACGAGTATACTCGTTGCAACAAAAAATATTGCTACTGTTGTATGACGAGTATACTCGTGATACACAGCTACCTGTCCAACAATTCAACAATTTATCATCTTATGAATTTCATCCACTCACAATGATTTTTATTGCTGCTCATGTCACGAAACAGATCACCATTGGTAAAAGTAAATAATGGAAATAACAGTTCAACTTTACATTACATTCCCTGCAAACTTCAATCTCGCCTGTCCCTGACGGATAGCTCGTGGCAGTTTCTTTAATATTTTATATCCTTTTAAATCGTCGGAACTCTTTAGTATTCTTCAGACGGTTCTGACATTTGATTTTACAATGGCATCTGCTGTTCCGTGATGTCCTGTCAATACGCAATGGCACGCGAGTTTTAAGATAACGTGTCTTTCCCAGGAAATTCTGCTTCAACGTCCTATCGAACGAGTTTTCAGTTCCAGTAGTTCGAACAGTAATAGTTTCCAATTAAGTAATCCTAAATTACTCAAAAGATTAAGATAACTGTCATCTTAATCTTGTTATCCGATAACAAGATAAATTCGCCAAGGTTTCTCTGTTATTTTCCAAACTTCCTCCACGAAGTAGTTTACGTCTCTCGTACAATTACTCACAATAATTTCGAGTTCAAAGTTCTTCAGATTAGTTTCTATTCTACACAACAGATAACTTATATAAATGATACATTCTACGCATTTAACACGTTGAACACTGCGTAATTTCACACAGCAAAATACGCAAAATGGAAAAAGTGTAATATTAAATTATTTGATTGAACTGCATTATTATTGCACGTGCATCTAGCTGAATGTCACCGTATTAGGTAGCATTATTTATAATATAGGAATATTTTCAAATAATCCTGAGTGAACTATAGTAATTCGATTCGGTCGGGGTCACCGCTGACCCCTATGGCATTCAACGTGTCAATATCACTTAGAAACGAGACGTAATCAATAATCTCTCTCACAGCGTTCGATTTTCTGTGTAATATTAGGCGCTTACATAAGTAACGGCCATTTTTACGTCACGACCCTTCCACCACATCTCCGGTAAATTTGTGAATCGCACGATATAAAACGATTCGCCTGTATAAGTGATAAAATCACGTATTCATGACGAAATTTCGTTTACAAATGCCCAAAAACCAGACGTGCGAAGCTGGGAGAATAAGCAAGCCAAGATAGTACTTCCCAGCCAAGTTTCAATACTATTTGCTGAGTATAATCAAAACGTGACCTGGCATTGTCGTTCGACGATATAAGCTGACGGTTTTCCTGCAGCTTTTTCCCCTTTAACACTGAATCTACCGAGCAGTTGAATTGACTTTTTGAAATTCCTCCATAGCAACTTGATTATTGTATAAGTTCTCGAAGTTGCTATGGAGAAATTTCAAAAAGTCAATTCAACTGCTCGGTAGATTTAGTGTTAAGGGAGAAAAAGTGGCAGGAAAAAGGAGACTTAATAATTGTATTTAGAATCGTATTTATTAATGCGAGCATTTCCGACAATACACGCGACATCTTTAACCCTGATTCGGACAGAAGATTTTTAGTTGTGTACATTAACACATTAAAACTAGAAATACCGAGCATTTAATACGATTAACTCTAGATTTACGAAATCTGTTAATTTGACGGATATTGAATTTTTTAAACGTTATCTGGTAATGTTTAAGCCGATTTTGATTGGTGCAATTATGCGAATACGCATCACAATACTATGGTTTTGTATTTATGGAGACTATGATTGAAAATTCAATTTGCGTGTTGCTAAATCAATTTCTTTAATAATTTCTCAGAGGAACATCTATCTTTTTAATAATTGCAAAAGGGGATGCCAGGAATGGGTCATTTTGACCCGACTGATAGTTTTAGTGCTAGCCGAATGGTAGTCTACTAATTTGTTGTCATGGCAAATACTTTGTTACTTATTATTGAGGTATAAGTGTTAGATTATACTACTGTAAGCTCCCATATTATTCTATAATTTCTTAACACTAAACCCACCGAGCAGTTAAACTGCCTTTTCGAAATTTCTCTATAAAAACTCGAAGAGTGCATTTATCGAGACTTTAATCGATTCACAATTCAGTCTTCGTATTGCTAAATCAATTTCTTCAATAATTTCTCAGAGAAACATCTGTCATCTTTTTAATAACTACAAAAAGAGAAATTAGAAATGTGTCATTTTGATCAATAGAATCAAATTAACTTAATTTTCGTTTTTGTTATTACCTACTTAGAAATGGAAAAACGCAACAATCGCGCTATTCACAATCTTCTCACTTAAAAATAGAAAAGCGTCATTCAGTTTCTGAACTGAAACGAAAGGACTTGGCACTTCTCGACGGTTTTGCAAAGATCCATGGCACTCGAACGATTAAATAGTATTAGACTTTGCCAAATAAACTCACAAAACCAAAGTGCCGCGTGAATCTAAGAAAACACAGTAACAAAGGTAGCAAACAAGGTAGCTCACCTGAAAGATAGTGACCTTCTTCAACACAGAGAGGTTCACGTGAAGGGCCAGTTCGGTCTTCAGCTTGTCCGGAAGTAGACCCAGGGCAGTATTGATGTCTCCACCCCCTTGTATCCTGCCGCGGGACCAGCTGTAGTCGTACCACCTGAGAACCCTTCTCTTCATGCCACCCGGTACCTTATGATGTCTCATGTAGGTCTTCGCGCCGTCGAGAAGTCTTTCGAACTCCAGACGGTTCGCGTTTCGATTGGTGATCACGTTCCCGACCTGTCCGACGATCGTCGCGAATATGAAGACGCCGATCAGGTAGCTGACTATCGTGAAGACGTACCTACGGATCAAGAAGCGAGAGAAAGAGCCGATCAGTCCAAGGAGGATGTGATCACTGTCCTCGGTACATGGACGAGCGGCCCCCGCCGGAGCCTTTCTCCTTTCTTTCGTTCTTTCTTTCCTCCTTTCTTTCCTCCTTTCTTTCCTTCCTCCCTTACTTGTCTCTTCTCTTTCTTTCTTTCTTTCTCGCAGTTCTCTCACGCAATTCACATCGACACGTTCAAGCATACCCATTCGAGCTAGTTCGCGCGGACTTCGCATGTTCCCTGTTTTCGTGGTAAACTTTCAATAAAATGTTGCACTGATGAAATCTGGATGTTCTGGGATGTGATGTGAGTATATTTATTTGGGAATGTTCGTGATTTGGGATTCGAGTAGTGGGGGATATTAGAATTGTAGAGAGATTTGTGTTTTTTCTTTAGGAGATTGATGCTATTTAGTTGTTTCGAGCTGTTGTTCAAGTGTATTTGTTTGGGAATGTTCCTGATATGGCCGAGTAGTGGGGAATATTAGAATTGTAGAGAGATTTGTGTTTTTTTTGTTTAGGGAAGAGATTGATGCAATCTAGACCAATGTTTCCCAAGATTTTTTGTGCCATGCACTACTTAAGCGTTTCTAAAATTCTTATGCCCCCCTATGGCACATATATATACTTTTTAATATTATATTGTAATATGTTTAGAATATTTATTATAATATTTTTGTTATTTTGTTTACGTGCGTAAATATTGTGAAATATACGAAGTGATATTTCAAATTTCAAATTGCCCCCCCGCTTTAAAAATCAAATTGCCCCCCTGTGGGGCGACGGCCACACGTTGGAAAACACCGATTTAAATGTTTTGAGCTATGGTATGTACTGAGAAATATGTATTCCAAATGGAACTTACTTTCTTTCAGTAAGGAATAATTTTAACACTCGGGAATGTGCTTGAGAAAGTTTGAAATACCAACAAAGAATTCGCTTTGAAGTAGGTTACTTTGAAGTTTGGCATGGTATCTTCATTTACAATACCCATAAAGTATCACTCCCAAAATAGTCTAAATTCTATTTGAATCATGAATCAAAGAACAAATACGTCGGAAGATAATTGTATGTTTAAAAAAGACACAACGCTTTGTGCATATGAAAAAAGAATTTTAAAAGAAGTTTCTCAAATTTCTACGGTTAGACACAAAGCCACATAAACAATTCGAGAAGTGAGTGTAACTGTCAGTGTTATTGTCGTTTAATGTTGTTCTTGGCTAATGTTGGTATTGGAGAATCTTTACCCAAGGAAACATTGTTGGTAAAATCTGTGTAACCACTCACGTAATTACTTACGTCCCTATAACTCTTCCACCCTCAATCATAACATCCACTCGTGCCACCCTCACCTCTACCACGCTCAGAAGAATCTAGGGAAAAGGTTCAAGAAAGAGTGCGAGCCCTTCGCAATTTGCGAGATCTGATTTTTGATTGCGATTCCAGGACCACGGCGACGACATTCAGAGGTTTCCGAACGTTCCGCCTCACTGAATATTTATAGGAAACCGATGAATGGAGAATTGTAACTCCGTTTTTCATTTGTTGTTGCGCAGACGCTTTGAGGAAGAAGCACTCGAGTTATTGAAAATCCAAAGAGTTATTGGAAAGACAATTTTGTGTTCTTATTATCTAGGTAGATTAAAAGAGCTCCCTTAATTTATGGATTTATATTTCGCAGACTTGTTTACTACCGTCCGTTGCAGGGAACTTGGCATTCACGTCTGAGTGGTCGGATTCGAAGGCGCGCGCCTGATTGGTTGAGGCGCTCACACCCACCAATCCGTCGCGTGACGAAAAGTGGGGAGAGTCTTTTCCGGATTCGCGATTGGATTCTCGGAGTGACTGTCTCCGCCTCTATGACATCACGAGTGCCAGGTTCCCAGCAACTGACGGTACTTTAAGTTATGTCAGGTGGAATTAGTGATGACATTGGCAAGATCGTGATTCGCGAACAATAAGCTAAGAATATATTAGGAAACTGGTTTATGAGATGGTCTGTTGGAACAATTTGTTTCAAAGTTTGTTTGATGTATTCGTATTTCTATAAAGTAGGAATGACAAATTATGTACGGATACCTTTGTAATGAAAATATAGATGTGAATTGATTTTGTTTCAAACTTTTGCTGCTATGTGACTTGTGGAATGTAATAGTAATCTTTGAAATTGAAAGTGACATTTATTCGTAGTTATCTATTTATCTAGTCTGTTTGTTAAAATTATTAATATTCATTGTTCTGGAACGCTGTATAGAGTTCATAATAGTTCTCTGCATTGATTTTATTAATTTTAAAATAGGTGACGTTTGTCAATCTACATTTATTTGAAAATCGCATATGGCAAAAAATTAAGTAAACAACATATATCAAATATCAAACATCAAATATCAAATATCAAATATCAAATATCAAATATCAAATATCAAATATCAAATATCAAATATCAAATATCAAATATCAAATATCAAATATCAAATATCAAATATCAAATATCAAATATCAAATATCAAATATCAAATATCAAATATC